TAGTATACGTGTATAAAAATATCTTGTTATATAAGAGAGGGGCTGTATTATAAGTGAAGGCATTTTTTTTAAAAAGAATGAGTTCAGTCACAGGTCTGGAAATATATGAAGAAATGTGTCTGTAATTTAGATTGTTCCCTCTGTGCGGATATAACCTTTGTCTTTTTCCTCTCGTAAAAAGAATGCCAAAGTAAATAACATGGCTTTTTTTCTATAAAGGTTTCTATATAGGATTTTTCAAAAGAAGGATTATTGATCAGATTTTCTTCCTCCATGAGAATATATAGTGTCCCAGGTAATTCAGCATTATTTATTTCCAGGGGCCCTAAATGGGGGAGCCATTCCCAGTGGAAATTACTCCAGAATCCACAAAACCAACGGACGTGTAGGCAGAGAAGCTGATGTAGCCTGGTGAAGAGTTTGTGATTACACAAGCATAATTAGAGAAATTTGCAATGTATGTCTAAAAATTCTGTAACAGGAACTTTTTTCACATACAGGGTTATAAAGAGATTAGATATCAGACAGATTAGACAGGAAAGGAAGATGGAAAGGAATTGAGGGAGAACCTTAGCCTCTGCATTTGAGCATCACTGTTTTTCACCACAAATCTGTTTTACGTATTGCTCACTTCTGCTAAATCCACTTGGATTCTGGTGGCTAGATAACATTCTTTTTCTGGGATAAACCTTTGTCTTCTCATACAGTGTTATTAAGTGTTGCACGGAACAGCATTGAACAGTGGTTATTTTCCATAGCTTCAAGACATCACTTTCATAATCTTCTTGGAATGTTTTAAAGATCATTTTTAAAGTACAGCCAAAGACCATTCTTGGTGGGGCTCACATAGACAAAATTTAAAAGGGATTTTAATTGAAGGTCATTTTATAGTCCTCAGATAATGTTAATCAGATTGAAAACAAACCTGTTCACTGAGCAGAACTCAAAACACCAGAGCCGTTTGCCGAATGTGGTCTTTTTAAATAGGAGTGCTGGCAGTTAAGATGAGTGTTCTGTCACACACGAGAGAACCCAGGTCCCTGAAGATTTATATGAATGCTTAGCTATTATTGAACCATCTCCTCATAGATGACTTAGTAAATGTCTGTTTTTGCATCAGATAATGGCTTACAAGTTAATTTCCTCTCGCTCCCCGTTGTACACACATACACACATACACCTTCTTTCCAAACAGCTTATAAAATGAAAAGAAAGACTTTGATTTCTGACTGTGTAATTGATAATATCACACAGACCACCTGCTCATCATCTGCTGGTCACACTGACAGAGATTACATTATCAAAGACACTGAAAACAGTGTGTATATTAGGAAATTAGCAGTTTTCTGAAATAAATTTAATTGTAGTTTTTAAATTACCTAACGTTTATCTTTACCTCATGTTTTATAATATTTGATGGTAGAATTGACAAACTCAATTTTGAAGTGAACTCTTTAGAGTAACTATCATAGCAAACCCCTAATGCCCAAATTTCAAATCTTCCTTCCCTCTCATAAACATTTTGACTATAAAGAGGTGCCGTGGTCAGCTCCAACAAATTCCTTGTCAGGATTCATTGCATTAAAACAGACATTGTTTTTCCGTTGTTGTTTGTTTTTTGGTGAGGAAGATTAGCCCTGTAGCCCTGAGCTAACATCTGTTGCCAATCCTCCTCTTTTTGCTGAGGAAGATTGGCCCTGGGCTAACATCCATGCCCATCTCCCTCTACTTTATATGGGACGCCTGCCACAGCATGGCTTGATAAGCGGTGTGTAGGTCTGCGCCCGGGATCTGAACTGGCAAACCCCAGGCCGTCAAAGTGGAGCATGTGAACTTAACCACTACACCACTGGGCCATCCCCAAACAGACATTGTTTTAAAGGCTATTTCAAGGCAAAGCTGTTAGTTGTGGGTCAAGTACACCTTAAAAAGTGACACTGAACAGTGAATTCCAACCTGTCAAAACATACACATATTGTTTTTATTTAGAGATAACGTTGTTCTTTCCTGATATATTACATTATGCATGTATTCTTTATAGTCATAGAATTTTTAATAAACCATTTCAGCATCTCTGGAATAAACATCTGTATTTTCATCTTTCTCATTTCATCAAAATGTCTTATGTAGAGATATTGCTGCAAGTATGTATACTTGTGCTTAAGAGATTAAAGAGATTAGCGGTGAAGAGAAATAATAAACCAAACCCCCAGTATAAATGTGTGTGAAGTGTGTAAGGACTACTGGCTGAAATGGTTCCAACAAGAAATATATTGTCCAGTCCATATCGCCTTAGCCTCAAGATAAGTCTTTTTCTGGTATTATAAACCTGATTTTATTGAATGACTACCTGACTCTCTTTATTATATACACAGAATTTATATTTCTGGCCATCTTTGTAACTGATGCCTAAAAGATATTTGGAGAATAAATGACTAGCAGTAAGAACAAATGTCTATACAAAAGCACCCTTTATTTGGGTCTAATTCATTATTTTGAGTTGCTAATAGCCTCTAATGATGACAGCTGCAATTAGTTGAATAAACTATTATGTTTAGAACATTAGACAGTTTATGAGTCCAAATAATGCATAAAATTTCTATCTGACATTACTATTGTTTAGGTTATCAGATACTCATTTATTTAATGTTTTTTTTTTCCCCAATTGTTCCACTTGTTTTTGCTTACCTATTTGCTGAATGTCAGGATAAAACTAGTCAAAAGGAGGTGAGGGTATTGAAAATTCCAGACAACTACACTTAAAACAAAAACAAGTATGTTATTTGTAAATATGCTTATTTTTATATTGTGTGTCATCTATCCCTTTTAAAATGTATTATATATCTAGGTTTCCTATAATGTTTGTCTAGAATTGAGGACTTTAAAAAAAAATAGTTGCTTTTACTTTGCCTTTGAAAATATTGAATTAAAAATAGGGTAGCTAACTCTGCGTTCCACATTTATATCCAAACATTTAATTTTAGCAATTTTGCAGGCTCCTTGGAAAAGTATCTGCCATTTACTCTTTAAAAATTTAAGGAATATTTAACAAAGGGCATCTTGCAACTTCCCCTGAACTCTATAAACATCTTTGCTTCTTTTCTGTCCCGTTTGTCAGGAGCTCTGAAGGACTATATTTTGTCTTAAGTCTCACAAAGCATTTAGGAAAATTTTTAAGCTTAAATTCTTTAAAGCTCTTATTTTCAGGACAAATTAATATTGCATGTTTTGGAGTCATGTATGTATTTAAGATTTCAAACTAATGGTAAAATAAGATTTCCTTTTCTATTAAATGTATTTAATTAAAATTATGAAAATTATCTAAGTGTTCACACTTTTCCCTTTCTAATAATCATAAAAATTTTATCCTGTGGTCAGATAGAGTATACTTTGTGGAGGTTTTATAAAAAAATTCAGATATTTGCCTTAGAACTGATTAAATGATAATATAATAAATATAATATTAAAAAATGTTATTTTCTATTTACATTTTATGATAATTATACTGAAAGCAAGCATTCAAAATCTTCCAATTTCTTTTGCATTTGTAAATTTGTGCCTTTTTATTTTCAAAATAGACAACTTTTAGTTCCACTGAAAATTTTTGACATGGGTCTACAAATAGTGCATCGTTTTTTAAAATTTATCATCATAACCATAAATTTCAGTTGCCTGAGCTCCAACTGGAGACTAAACGGATGACTGAACCTTGTTACTCTAAACCCCCCACTGCTATACAATATGGCCACACAAGCAAGTACACAAACCGTCTGATTCACTCTCAGTGCTATAAATGTTTTAATAGTTTTCTTGGAATCTGAAAATGGAGCTGTCCACAGATGGTGACTCTTCCTTTAAATTTCACTATTATCTCTTTTACAAGTTAATTTGGTAAGAACTTAGATGTTAAATTAGCACTTGATGAAACCTTATAAAGCCTTGTTATTTTGATTCTGGGTGAATAAAAATCCTTGAAGAAATGAAAATCTTGATCATGTGCAGAAATACCTATGAATATCAAATACATGTTTAAAGTTTAAAAACATTGACTATTCATTTTAAAACATGTGAAATGTGACTTAAATATAAAATATTATTTGCTTTCACTTGTTTCCAGATTAAAAAGTAAATGTTCACCTATCTGTTTTAAATGCTAATCCTAGTGATTAAAACAGCAATTTGCCTGTTATCTCAGTAAAAAATCATCTTTGTCGGTTAAGAACATATATAGTTTCTTCATTGACTGAGGTGATGTTTCAAGTAGGTAAATTTATTAAAAAAATTTTTTTTCCCATGCTCTGTTCAATTTCCATACAAGCTAATTTGTTTCATATTGGGGGAAAAAATCTAACCACAGACCACAAACCTGACCATATTCACTTGCCTCTCAAATGCATCCCACTAGACCCATAAAGGGCTAGAAGAGAGATAAGATGGTTCATGGTAATCCATCAATATCACAAGAAGAAAAACAGATACCAAAAGCATATGTTGTACTGACAGCATCGTATGTATGAGAGTGAGAGCATATTAGTATTGTCTAATCAGTTGCAATTTTTTACGGTTGAAAGTCAAATGAAATGCTTAAATGTATTGAGTCATTGGAGTTAGAGACTAATTACAGCTAGATTTATGGCTGTGCTAAAATAAAGCCAGTTAGAAAACAGACTAAATTCCCTGAAAATACCAAGTCTGACTGATGATTCACCTTAAATTTGGGAAGCAACATTTATTCTCACTTTGTTTGTCTAATTGACAGCTTGCCAGTATCCACTAAGTAGCTATGAGGAAAGAGAAAAGCATTACATGGGTGCGTGACAAGACATTGGGATGGATTTGTGGCTTTTGATCATTCCTGAATGCTGTTATCCAGTTTAGTATAGAGACAGGTCTGTAACTGCTGATAATCACTGACTGTTACCATCACGGGGGTCATTTACTTAACCTAAGTATCTTCAGACCTAACAGCCTGAGGATAAACATGATTCCCTCCATTGCAGAACTCCAGCTGCAGGGCCCAGGCTTCCTCTCACAGTCTCCCCAGTGATTTATTGCAATTCCAAGGGTCTCTTACATATGCTCAAGAACAAGTCTGCCTACTTGCATCTGCTTTGCTTTCATCTTTGAAACCTGCTGCCCTCAAGTTTCTAAGGGAGAAATCATGCCACTGCCACCCTTGCCAGTGACCTTGCTTCTTGTGCCGTGAGCACCCCAATTACCTCAATCAAAACAGTGCCTCAGCATTTGCTGCAGTTTTCTCTCTCCATCTCCTTAAGATCCCTAGAGCTGGGCTGGGGAACAGACACTATTTCCCCTCTTGCACCTCTATACCAGTACTTCCATTCTCTGAGACCACCTTCCTCTCATTTCCAAGCAAAGCATCGTAAAAGAGATGCACAGAGAGCATGTAATGAGAACAAAAACCTATTAGCCATTTAGATGCAGCCAGATGATCCAGTTTATGGGAAGTTTATATAGGAAGATCTGTATAACCTAATATATATATGTATGTATACATATGTATATACTATACGTATATATGTATATTCATGCTATACATGTATACATATATTCATATATGCATAAGGTAAAAGTTTATACATTTAAATTGAGATCAGAGGGTGAGAAAGGGTCAACCGTGTGATGAGAGAGAGAATTTTGGGGATGGGGTGATTAGAATGTGGGACAGACACATCCAAGGCAGAACAAGCTCATATGTAAAGCCCTGAGGAGGGGAGAATCAGACTCTGGTGTGTTTGAAGGCGGAAAAGAGGCCAAAGTAGCTAGAATGTAGTGAATGCCAGAGATACTTAGAGATGGAGGCTGTAGATAGAAACTTTATAAGTGATAGTACAAAGTCTAGATTTTATGTATAGGCTTGTGGCAAGATATTGAAGTTTTATATGAAGGGGACTAACATTGTCCTATTTATGTCATTTATGATTTGTAACCAAAAATATGCAAGAAACAAAGCAAAAAAAAAAAAGAACAACAACAATGGAACTGTGATGGTGATTTTGGCCAAAAAATGCATGTATATCCATTTTCACAATGTTAAAACATTCATTATTTTAAATTTTAATATAAATTTGCATATGCATGAGTTTATAAATAGCCAGGTTTATTGGGGAATGTTGCTAAAGGTGGGATTTATTGCATGGATGCAACTCACTAATGAGAAACATCTCAATACCTATTGAGTTAATGCATGCATGTTTTTTATCTTCCTAGAATGCTGTGAGAAAGCATTGCTAGATAATGTCCATGAAACCCTTTTAGTTTCTTTGAAGAAATTAACTCTATACATAAATGGTAACTGGTAGGTCTTGACAGCTTCCCAAGTCATCGCTCAAAAGTGAATGTGGAATTTACTTATTGAAATGGACTCAGATTCAGCCAAGTTCTCAAAAGCACTTGCTGTCATAGATTTCTTCAAAAAACAAGGAATCTTGAATTTAAATTGTCAAGTAACAATCCCAGAGGAGAGAGATTTTAAGTCTGACTGTATTTTGTTTTGAAAAAATAAACTATATTTATAAGTTATATAAAAAGACTCATACTATACTTGAATCTCATTCTGTTTGTGCCTTTATGTGTCTGCCTGTAACATCACAACCATCCATTTGTTGAAGATCCTCAGATCCTCAGAGCATGCTATAATAGTAGATGTTTTAGGTATAATTTTTATTTTAAGTTAGCCTCTTAAGATAACAGACCATTGCCACAAATACAGTAGACACTCAGTTCAAAATTTCATTGTTTTGTTCATACTTTTATTTTTTTTCAAGTGTTTTGTTCATACTGTTACTACATATACCAATTAATTTTGGCATTAAGCAATAAAGTCCAATGCTTTTTTCCTTTCTCCAAATATCTCTCTCCTCCTCCATTAGTTTTATACTTATTCACAAAGGACTATTCCGATATCGGATGCTATTGTCTGTGTTTCTTCCTGGAACACGTGTTAATTAATCTCTTTGGGCTTGTATGTAGACTGGGGAGGTAAGGAAGAGAATGAGTAGTTGTCTAGGGAGTTAACCTCATCTCTGTAGGAGAGTGGGCAGATGTTCTATATGAAAAGCTTTCAAGAAGGGAAATGAAGCAGCCACTTCCCCAGGGCTTCCTCAATGGTTGGACTTCTTCATTGCTTTTGATCTGCTGGCATTTATCCTTCTGAGGTCACTTGATTGGATGGGTAGCCATTATTCTTGTTAAGATTTTGGCATACTATCTTGTACTCTCCAGAAAAGAGGCTTGGGTTAAGATACATGCTTTCTCTGAAATCACCAAAGTATGTAATACATTCCAAATAAAAAGGGAAATGAAGAGACAATATAGTTTATAAAAACGATTTATAGCAACACCCCAGGGGATATGTGTTTAAAAAAAATCTACATAATCTTGTTGAGTTTCTATTACAGGGGCATTCGATTGAGTATGGCTTAGAAATCTGAAAAATAGTTTTTTGTTTTTTTTGTGTGAGATCAGCCCTGTGCTAACATCTGCCAATCCTCATCTCTCTTTTTTTTTTTTTTTTTGCTGAGGAAGACTGGCCCAGGGCTAACATCTGTGCCCATTCTTCTCCACTTTAATATGGGATGCCACCACAGCATGGCTTGCCATGCAGTGTGTCAGTGCGCACCCAGGATCCAAACTGGCAAACCCCGGGCTGCCGCAGCAGAGCGCGCACACTTAACCGCTTATGCCACCGGGTTGGCCCCCTCTTAATTTTTTTTTTAATGTATTTACCTTTTTAGTATGAAAGTTGTCAAGGAAGTTTACTTACCTACATTACATGACAGGTTATTACTACTTAGGTAGACTATAAATATGGGCCTAAAACAATTTCTAAAAATTATATAGAATGTTAAAACTAAAAGAAGAAAAATGATTCAACAATGCTTCAGCTGAACCTAGCAAATTGGTCTTTCTATAGTGTGTTAAAGTATAGTTTTCAAAAAGTAAAAATAACTTTCATACAAAAATAAAATGAATACATGTCAAAGATTTTATTCAACCAATTAATATAGGAACCAGTAAGCTGATAAGACTGGTTCAAAGGAGAATTTGAAGAATAAAGATTTGTAGAAACAGTGAGTCAAAGGAATTCTGAAATGAATTGGCTAATATAGACAGAACTGGTTAACACTTTACTGGCCAATGAACTGAAACCTTTGGAATTATGTTTTCTATTGGACAGAAATCTACAGTTTAACATACACCTTCAACGTGTTTGGACTCTAATCAAATATTTAATAGCAAAGTCTAACTCAGATGTTTTTTCTTAGAAATTTAATAATCATTGGGTGACCTATTAAAAATAACATTTAAAGGACATGTAGTAATCCTCTTTTTTCTCAAGTTTTTCATAATTTTTCTCATGAGTGGGAGTGTTATGAAACTTCTATATGATAACAATAGAGACATCACATACGCCCCCAAAACCACCTCTAGTCTACGATGTGTGTGTGTGCGTATGTGTATTTACTCATGTATTTGTTACTGCACAAAGTGGGGGTTTTCTTGCCCAATGCACATAGAGAGCCAATTATTACAACATCAGCCTTCGAGAAAAGAGTACTGCTTTACTGTGAGATCAATCTGCAAGGAGACAGGAGGCATATGCCTCAGATCTGTCTCCCTGACCCAGGGCTTGGGGCAAAATTTACGGGATGAAGGGCAGGGTGGTCCGAAGTGTGGATATAGATGATTGGAGGTAAGGAGAAGTGAGGTAATCGATGATCTGAGCAAGCGCAGTCAAGCTTCATGGCTTTTCATAGGACGCATGTTCACAAAATGGTGGTGTTAATATGATCTGAGGGTGGAGTTTTCAGCCCCTTGTGTCAAGAAGGTCACTTATTGAGCATTTGTGCAGGCCCAGTTGATGGGTTGGTGGTCTCAACCGGCCTGAACTGAACAAAGGGGGACTCTTAGTTCCTAAAAGACGACTCTTAATTACTCTGTGGATAAGGTGGGGTCAGTTGAACTGGTCCTAGTTGGCCCGTGGTTACATATTTGTGCATATGTATATTAACCAAACCAAACATGCTGAGAGACTTATTAAACAATTTTAGAGCAAGTGATATGCTCTAGGGAGAGAGAATGGGGGAATAAAACAGTACTATAACAATCGCTTGCATTGTATTCGATCTTTTTTCTTTTTCTTTTTGATAATGGTTTGTGGAAATGTGGCAAGATTTAAAGTCAAATTCAGAGGGAACTAGAGACTTATGAGTAGATGTTAAATGGAGAAAGTTTTTTTCTTCAATATTGCTTGTACTTGTGTTTGAATCATACAGTTCTAAAAATTCCACCTGTTCCGCTTTAAATATACTGCTGAAATACACAGGGATACAGGCTGTTAACGAAATCCACTAAATTCTTAATGGTTTAGAGGGTACAAATATTTTCTTATTTGCCTGGAATTCCAACCATTAAAGTAAACATTGGTAGACGGTTTCAATATAAATAACACCCTGGTATGCATAGATGACTAAACGCATACCCACATACATCCACATGTGCTTTGAGAGGCAACGTGGCCTGGTAGTTCAGAGCATGGCTTCTGGAGCCAAGCCTCCTGGTTCCATTTCCTACAAGCTCAGGGAATTGGGGTAAATTAGTTATGTCTATAGAGTGGGCCTCATCCTAGTACCTACCTCTTAAGGTTATGGTAAAGCCCCCGAGGAGTATCTAACATGTAGTGTATCTTCAAAAAATATTAGCTACCATTATCTAGCCTACCATTATTTATAGTCAAGACATTTGCAGTTTAAACATTGTTTATACTCATTCACTTTTTGTAATTCTGAAAGACCACTCTTTTTTGTTAAGTACTTTAAGTTCTGTGCATTCCTTCTGTATCCAGATTCCTGAGCTGCTGTAAGAATTCCATAGGTAACAATGGGGATAGAAAATGGACCATCTGTAATGGGATTTGGGAGCTTCTTCTGCAAGGGAGTAAGGGCTGAGGATGGGAGTCACTCTCACGGCCTTGGGTGATAGTCACAGCGATTGGGGTTTTTCTGGAAGCATGTGCTCTCAAGAAAGCTGATTACCTTTTTA